GCATGCCCCCTCCCCCCAGTTTCAAGGTATCATGCAAATCATTATTGTGCTGCAATTATGTTGCCAGATAAGGGTTGGTTACATACAGTGGTTAACATACAAATGATCCATTGGGCAAACAGGAATCATGACATTAGAAAATAGGTAAAGAAAAATTAGCTACCATCTATAGTTTGGTAGCATTGTGACCACAATTAGGGTTGTTGATGAAGACAGTTGCTAAGGAGATAGGGAGAGGCTGCTTACACTTCAGACCTCCTCAGGTATAAAGCAAATTCATATGCTTTCTTGTTAAGTGTGCCTCCGTCGACACCTTCCTTTCCCATGACTATAACCAGTGCTCTACCAGCTCTGCTGACAGCAACATTGTATGTTGGCTCCCCACCTTGACTCTTTGTGCGGATGTCCATTGTGCAGTCACCATCGACGTATAGACTATCTCTGATCACTGAGCATTTCTTCGCGCCAAGAGTCAAACAGTTGGTAAAGAAACCTTCCCAGTGTTTTCCCACAATCATATCTATTTCTATTGGCATAATGCTCTGAGAGATGCCCCCGGCCGTGGCTGCCCGTACGTATTTGGCATCGCAGTAGCCGACAATGGCGGCCTCCTGACAGCAGCCATCGCACATCAGATTATCCATGTAGCTCTGCCAACCGGCCGTCTTCAAGCCCTTCGCACTGCAGCGCAGACCGCCACAAGTTAACAGTTTTAAAGAAAAGATTCAACATGTAAATTTATCTGGAAAGGCCAGGGGAGGGGTGAGGTTGGCTAGAGACATGATTAATTCAGAGACTCAAATTTGTCATCAGAGTTCTGTATTTCTAAAGAAGATAGTCAATATCAGCTTATCAGCTCCAGCTTCTCTATTATCCTACCTTAACAGCTTCAGCAGAAAAATAGACATCTTTCTCACAATGTTCATAAATAAAGAACCAGAGAAGATGACTTTTGGACTAATACCTGTTGTTAGGGAGATATGGTACAGTGTGTGAAACCCTGATTGGTCAGGGCTGGGTCATGTTATTTCCTCATCCCCTGGTCCACCGTATTATTTCTTAAGTTATTTAAAGTCATGGCTATTATTTTTATTTTAGTTGACATAATTGTACATATTAATATAGTACAGTGTGATATTTTGATACATGAATACAATGTGTAATAAGCAAATCAGGGTATTTAGCACACTCATCACATCAAACGTTTACCATTTCTTTATGATGGAAACATTCAAAATCAAATCAAAGAGATAATCCACCACAATCAAATGGGTTTCATACCAGGGAAGCAGGGATGGTTGAACACACACAAGTCAATAAATGTGACACACCACATAAACATAATTGAAAACAAAAATCACATGATCATCTCAATAGATGCAAAAAAAAGCATTCAACAAAATCTGGCATCCCTTTATGATTAAAGCTCTCAGCAAAATCAGCATACAAGGAACATATGTCAATGTAATAAAAGCTATTTATGACACACCCACAGCCAACATAATACTGAATGAGGAAAAGTTGAGGGTATTCCCTCTGAGAACTGGAAAAAGACAAGGATGCCCACTCTCACCACAGTCCTGGAAGTCCTAGCGATCAGACAAGAGAAAGAAATAAAGGGCATCCAAATATGTAAAGAAGAAGCCAAACTGTCACTGTTTGCTGATATGATTGTATACCTAGAAAACTCTAAGGACTCCTCCAAAAAGCTCCTAAAACTCATAAAAGAATTCTGCAACATTTCCGGATACAAAATTAATGTACACAAATCAGTAGCTCTCCTATACTCCAACAGCGACCAGGCTGAGAATCAAATCAAGAACTCAATCCCTTTTTCAATAGCTGCAAAACAAAACAAAACAAAACAAAACAAAACAAAACAAAACAAAACCACTTAGAAATATACCTAACCTAAAGAGGTGAAAGACCTCTACAAGGAAAACTACAAAACACTGCTGAAACAGGCCAGGCGTGGTGGCTCACGCCTGTAATCCCAGCACTTTGGGAGGCCGAGGTGGGCGGATCACGAGGTCAGGATATCGAGACTATCCTGGCTAACACGGTGAAACCCCATCTCTACTAAAAATACAAAAATTAGCCAGGCATGGTGGCAGGCGCCTGTAGTCCCAGCTACTTGGAAGGCTGAGGCAGGAGAATGGCGTGAACCCGGGAGGTGGAGCTTGCAGTGAGCCGAGATTGTGCCACTGCACTCCAGCCAGGGTGACAGAGCGAGACCCCG